TTTTTTTTTTTTTTTTTTTTTTTTTTTTTTTTTTAAATAAAAAATGTGAGTAACAGAACGATCGGAATGTTAAATTGTAATTAAAGAAGTAACACGAAGCAGAAAAAAAGTTTGACGTTGATTTCAAGGGTGTAAGAAACACATCGCTGATCCTATATAGAGTGTAGAAATCAGATGCCTCTGTTCTAAAAGGACTTCCTTTTTCAATACTTTCTGAAGACAAGCCAGGGACTATTGAGAGCATGTTTCCAAAATGTTCTTGTCAACCACTGGATGCTGTCCCTGGTATGTGTGACCACACAACAAAGCACACAAGGCAATAAAGAAAACAACTTTGCGAAAAAGAATCTTATAAGACGGAAGCGCGAGTACAATTGCAAGGTTTTCTTCCAATGCTTCCGAAAGTAGAGTAAAAGTAGCGCGAAAATATATTTGGAATCTTAGTGATCTCTGTCCTTCGTACCAGACATTTTGCAGAGAGGGTAACTCGTCATACGCTTAGTAGACCATATTTGTTAAAGGAAATTGAAAACAAGAATCTGTCATTATTTAAACCACGGAAAGATCATTGGAACATGCTCGTCGGCTATCAGGAGCGATATCCTGTTGCATTTCCTTTTAAAAAAAAATCTCGAGCCCACCAAGTGAAAGCTGGATGTAAAGATAGAGCTCTTTTAAAGATGAAAACTTATTTAAGTAATCACAATGGACTTTTAATCAGGAGGTACATGCCCAATCTGCCAATCTAAAAGCATCCGCTGTTTATTACCGCAGCAAAGTATGCACCCAAAACTTAGCTATTGGGCACTTAAAATCGCATGATGTTGGTATAAATGAGAAGCTGGATTAAATGCCAAAGAATTTGCGTCATGCGTAATTAACTACTTGGAGAGTGATCTGTCGTTTGAAAATTGCATTAACTACTCTGATGGTTTGTACGGATCAGAACAGAAACAAGACATTAGCGTCTACACTCTCCAGATTTTCAGTTACACGGGAAAAAGTCATGGAGCAAAAAATATAGGAGAAAGGTCACACTATGATGGAAATAGTCAGTGTTCACATTGCCATCAAAAGGCATATAAAAAACAAACATATTTTTTCACTCAAGTGATTATTTGAGGTACATTGAAGAAGCAAGGATAAACACACGTTTGTATTCTGTGAAGTAAGTGGATCATGATTTCTTCTTTTTAACTCTGATGGAGTTAATACATTAAATTGCATTAGCCCCGATACAGGTGTCCAAACTGTCAATGGTATTACGCTCTCCAGTATCTACCAGATAGAAATATCAATTACAAACTTTTGTTTGATGATGACTGGACAGTACAATCGTGGCGTCTAAAAAAACTCCGGAAAAAAATGTAGATTTTTTTTCTTTACTGGGAGGCGACTATTTTATTAATCAATAGAGATCCACGGGTATGGTGTAGAACTGTCTGAAGATTGTCTGTGGGCCTATTGTTTAAAGGACGGCAGGTATTGTTTAGGACTCTCTTTATGACTATTGTTTAAAGGTCGGTATATATTATAGAAAAGGAGAAAATAAATATTGTGTGTGTGTGTGTAACATTTGGACTCATTGGGTATCTTCTCAAAATACCCGAACTTGAGGGAAAAAAAACAAAAACAAAACCAACTTCACCCAGTTAAGCTCTAGAAGTTTTTATTTCTGTATATTTGATTTTTAATGTTTGTTTAAAGTTAATAGTATATTTAAATTGATTATTGTTAATATTGCCAGCTTCGTATCGTTTTTCTTTGTATACTGTTATTCAGTGCTTTGTTACGTATTGTTCATCTAACGAGCCAAATCTTAAAATAGATTAGATTTGTAAAACCATTTAACGGTATGTAACACAGTAGCAATACTAGACATTGTGCACCCCACCCCCAACACACACCAACACAAAAAAAAACAACTTCTCTATTTATGCGCAGATTTTTAAATTACAGGGTGCCGAGACTGCCACTTTGATCGGAGAAGGAGTGGAAATCTAGGGCGCCGCAGGCTGCCCAATGAAAGTAGGGAAAGGGGGACAGGGGAGTGTGTCATTTTTTTAAAGAATACCTGATTTTAGTTTTTCATCATCCTACACTTTATCGGAGAGCAACAGAGGATACCTTAGTGGAAATTTAGGTGTTCGTGGACCTGGTTGTGTTTATTAAAGTACATTATTTTGTGTTGTACTACAACAAATACTGTGTGTTTTTTTTTAAGATGTTCTGTCAGGCGTCAAATTTACAGGTGTAAGAGCATATTTTTTAATTAAATAAGCTCACGTCCCATAAATCTTGAAACTTGAAAGTCCCAGATCCATCGTCCCCTCATTGTTTTTTTCTTCTCCTTATTACTTGATTCCCATTCAATTAAAATCTAAATTTCATGTTTTAAATTTTATTTGTTTCGGCAAAGAATCATACTTATTTTGTCCTATTTTTAAATGGGGAGCCGTGAAACTACTAGACGCGACCCCACATTTCGATTATCAATCATTCAATATGGCGGCGTTTCTCAGTCGCTACCAGTGTTGACAATGATATAATTTTAGCCGATTACAATCGTTTTATGTCTTTAACATCGTCGAAATGTCTTGTTCTCATATAAATAGTGTTAGGGAATGTTGAACATATGGGAATATTGTACCCTGTTGGTCGGGTCTTGCGGAATGAAGCAATTTCGGGGTCCATGCATTAGTGCACCTGTCAAAGAACAGTGTTTTGGTTCTGGAATTGAACTTGTTATCGTCACGTAGGCGCCCCTACCAAATTTCAGAAATTTTTTTGTTTTTGATTGTTTATAACGTTAAAAAGGAGACAATATTCATATTTAAAATGGCTGATACACGACGACGTGTGAAGTTATATATGCTAAATGAAGATCGCCAGTGGGATGACAGAGGAACTGGTCATGTTTCATCTGCTTATGTTGAGAGACTTCGAGGGATATCTCTTCTTGTTCGATCAGAGACTGATGGTAAATAATGAACTGACTATAAATCATCACAATATAGCATTTACGTTATATACTTTTTTAAAAATTTGGTCATGTTTGAAGCTGTGCATGCACTCTGTCAGTCAGTGACTTCAGCTTGTATACCCAGAAGTTAAGTAAGCCAAAGCAAAGGCCCCCTAGTTTAAGTTAAACTTAAAATGTAATGAAGTAACTATGAACTAGGCTTACTACTGTATACTCTCATTTGTTATAAGTAATTGTAGACCTGTATTTCACTAAGCATGTTTCTTTACTGTAATTATATCAATTGTTAAATGATAGTAAACTCTAGCCTAATTTAAATTGTGCATGTTAATGTTAGTAAGATAGGCGATAGGCATAGTAATAGTAAAGACTAAGTTGATTGACCTAATACTATTACATACATTTTCTAAATCAGCATGAATTATTAGCCTGAGGCTTGATGAACTAAATCCTTACTGATAGGGTAACTAATGCACAGGCTCCACACCTTTTTTTTTGGTCATGACCCTATTTTATAAAAGTGAAAGCAATGTTAGAGTCTATAAGCGACCCTGAACTAAAGTGACCTGCAACCCCAAGCCCAATAACAGTTTTAAAAAAAAAAAAAAAAGAGATTTTCAGTAGACCTTTTAATAAAGTTTAATTATTTATAAAAGTGAAAGCAATGTTAGAGTCTATAAGCGACCCTGAAATAAAGTGACCTGCAACCCCAAGCCCAATAACAGTTTTAAAAAAAAAAAAAAAAGAGATTTTCAGTAGACCTTTTAATAAAGTTTAATTTGTGATTTTTTTAATGTGTAATGATTTAAATTGTTATCAATGCAAGCTTCAAAATACAGGGTTGACATTATACTTCATACTGGTGTCATTATCAACATATTGAGCAACATACTAAACTAAAACAAACTGTTTTTAAAAAAAAAATGATATAGTTTTTATTTTGGTTTTCAACTTTAGAGAGATTTTTGGAAGCAAAGGGGATGATTAAGAAATTATTACAATTTTAAGACATGTTTAAAATTAAAAGTTTTTTTTAGTTTATTGTTTCAGCTGGCGACCCCATGTGACCCCATATGGGGTCGCGACCCATGGGTTCGGAACCTGGGCCTGGGAACTATTTGCATTTTTAAGCTAATATCATTTTATTCATTATGATTGAGTGAGGCCCTTTCATTTTTACTTAGCTTTTTTTATGGCCACATATAAAGGGCAATTAATATTACTAACATATCACCTCATTCTGACACAATTTGTACACAGTACATGGCCAAAAGTAGGTCCACGTAGTATGATAACATTTATAATGTTGTAAAAAAAAAAATTATACCTTAATTTGACATTAAAACTAAAATATTTTTTACATTTAAAATATGTTAAAAAGTTTAGTGTCTTAACTTTTGTGATTGTATGTTATTCAATAGCCCTTTTAAGAGATAAACATTTTATAAGCTACAAATAATAATTTGAGCCAACCTAGTTTATTAGGTCCCAAATTAATATGCCTATGCATTAACGTTTTAAAGTTTAAGTTTGTTTTAGGATTTTTATTTTCTATTACTTAAATGTATCGTTTTATAGTATAATCAAATTAATATGCCTATGCATTAACGTTTTAAAGTTTAAGTTTGTTTTAGGATTTTTATTTTCTATTACTTAAATGTATCGTTTTATAGTATAATCAGCACAGATTAAAATTATTGCATACAATTTTCCTGAGAAAAACATAAAACCTATTACCAAGCAAAGATACCGGAAGTAAATAGCATCACTATTCATTGGCTTTTAACACCATCATTATCTCATATAATTATTTTTGGGTACTGTATTGCTTACACTGACATTATTTTATGGGATTGGAATGAGCATGTTATACACTTTTCAGGATTGCCCCAGCCAAAACTAGGGAATTTCACTTTTGGATAAATCGGCTTTAGAAGTTAGAACCAGTATCTACAGTAATTAGTGGTAGACAAATACTGGGTCTAGTCAAAATGGTATATGCATTTTCGTGGTTTTAAAAATGTTAGCTAATGTATTGTTTTTATTAGGACTACCTGTGCCCTTAAACATATATTACATATCAATACTTATTTTACAGAGGTTTAATCTGTTGCAATTTAAATGTATTCTTTAAATTAAATAAACAAATAACCCTTTAGTATGATATTTCTTTTTTGTAATTTTTACAGGCTCTATTCTTTTGGAATCAAAGATTCAACAAGACACAGCATATCAAAAACAACAAGTAGGTGTCTTTTTAATTTGAGATGAAATGCTCTAAAAGCAAAGGCATGTGTCAAATATAGCTTTACAATTATTATTTTTTTTAGTTTCCAAAAAAAAAATAATTTAGGCCCTTAAAAGACCTTTGAGTATAATAAATAGTCTTTTAAGAATGTTCCAGAAGTTATTGAAAGGATTTCAACCTACAATAGCTTCTCACTAATTAATGTAAGAAAAAAGTTGGGGTTTCTAAATTAAAAGCAGCCTGTATATAATTTTTTGTTTTTTAAAATTTTTTTTTTACTTGTCATAATTTCTATCTAAATTATTGCAGGAAACTTTGATTGTCTGGTCAGAAGCTGACAATTATGATTTAGCACTCAGTTTTCAAGAAAAAGCTGGTTGTGATGAAATATGGGAGAAAATTTGTCAGGTAAACTTGCCTGACGTTATATACTATTTGTATTTTTTTTCTGTTGAAGGCTTTCATCTGAAAAGTCTGCTTTTTTGTTTCAGTTTCTTCAGGTTTTCCCCTGTATTTGTTATTTCTTATTGATTCGATCTGATTGCAGTCCTCTCCATATTACAATAATTTGTATTCTGCATAGTAAAAGGTACATTATGACTCCAAATAATTTTCAGTTTATATAAGAATTAAAACTCTTTCATTTTTCAAATTACAGGTTCAAGGTAAAGATCCAAGCGTTGATATAACACAAGATGTTGTAGAAGAATCAGAAGATGAAAGATTTGATGATATGCCAGATGCTGCACCTCCCATTGAGCTGCCACCATGTGAGACTAGTAAACTAGAAGAAATTGCAGAGCTGTTTTCTTCAGTACTGCCTTCCCCTATACGTAGGGAAAAACTGGCGGTTGCCATTGAAGCTGAAAGCTATATTCGAAAACTTGTAGACCTGTTCCATATGTGTGAGGACTTGGAAAACATAGATGGACTTCATCATTTATATGAAATTTTCAAGAGCATTTTCCTCCTGAATAAAAACGCATTGTTTGAGATCATGTTTTCAGATGATATTATTTTTGACATTATTGGTATCCTAGAGTATGATCCAACCTTATCGACACCAACCAAGCACAGGGAGTATTTACGTAACACAGCCAAGTTCAAAGAGGTATACATTTTAAAGTTTATAATACTTTACTGACAAAAAAAACAATACAAACAAAATTAATTAACATTTCAGCTTTTAAGCTTTGGAGCTTAATCAAATCATTGTGCATTTGTATCGGTAAGATTTTCATCATGCTCCTTATGATTGTGTTTTAAAAAATTTAATGTCCCGGGTATGTTCGATGCTGCAATTTAATTAAGTTTTAGTGGACAGCTGATTTTTTAAATCGCTGAATGAATTTAAACCTCTTAACTCCTTATTGAGATACATGCAACCTTACAATTCTACCTCAGGGAAGTCATAGCGATAGTAATTTAATATCTAACTATTTTGTTTTGATAAGTTATCATAGCTTTCTTTTTATTGAATATAATTATTGTCAGGTTGTGCCTATGACCAATTCCGAGTTGGAGACCAAAATCCATCAGACTTATCGAGTACAGTACATTCAAGATGTAATTCTCCCCACACCCTCCGTCTTTGAAGAGAACATGCTATCTTCTCTCTCATCATTCATCTTTTTTAATAAAGTGGAAATAGTCAGTATGATTCAGGTTGGTACCTTTTTTATCCATCTCTTTCATAAGCAATCTTTATTTTAGCTTCAGTGTTGAAGACACTTTTTCATTAAAGTATATATTATCATACTTTATTTATAAAAGTTTGCACTGGTTAAATATTATCTTTTTTAGGATGATGTGAAATTTTTAACAACTTTGTTTGCTCAACTGACTGGTGAAGAAACAGATGACAATCATAGGAGAGACTTGGTTTTATTCCTAAAAGAATTCTGTACATTTTCGCAAACTTTGCAGCAACCAAATAGAGAATCATTTTATAAGGTACAACATTAATGGTGTTTTATAATTAACTCATTTTATATTTATATGTAATTGAGACAAAAATTAATCTTTAATGTTAAGGAGCAAACATTTAAGTTAAATTTTTTTAGGAACCAACCCACATGGCAATAACTTTTTATCATTTATGGTTCACTCTGGGTAACCACATTTGCTACACTGATCAATTAAAAAAAAAATATATATTAATTTGCCCCTTTATATAAAAATATAACTTTTCTGCATTTCTTTAAAAAGTATCATGTGCTTTATATATAAACCTTCAATGGACATGTCAAAGGTACAAAGATACATTTTAATTAACATAGCCAAAGTTTAATGTTCACAATAATAGTAAGAGCAGTTTGATTTATCTCAAGCAATTACCTTATTTAATATCTCACACTTAAACATTTGAGTAAACTTTATTACACATTCTCACATTTTTTAATTTTCAAAGTGCAGCCCTAAAGAGTATTATTTTCTTGCATTGTGTTACAAATCTGAAGTTGTGGCTTATAAAATTTTTGAGTTTGATTGTATTGTCTATATTTTTAATTTTTCTCTGAGAATAGTTGCATAAAATTTAAAGCTTCAGGAGGCTGGGTGGTAAACAAATATATAAAGTCCTCAGCTTGTATGCATTGTATGTTGTATTGAGTTATAAGTCGGTATATGTAACCATCAGTATCTGTTAAATATGCCTCTAAAAGTTTTTTGAATGGAGTAACTTAAATCCTGTTGCATTAAAAAAACAAATTAATAATTGAAAGGTAAAGCTAATTCAAAATATAAAACATAAAACACATACTATGAAGTACAATTTAGTCCCCTTGCACAGAAATGAAATTTCCCTACAGAAATCGAATGTTTGCAAGAATTTCCCTATAATGACTAAATTAATTTGATCTATCAAATAAATGTAGATTTCTATAATATTTTTTACATTTTATTATTACAGACTTTATCAAATCTTGGAATATTGTCATCCATAGAAATCATCTTGGTATGTGCATTCATTTATGTGTGTTCTTGTTGCCACTCTTCTGCAGTATAAACAAAAAAATCACCATTATATAAACATAAATATTCTGCTTTTGTATAGATAATTTTATACATGGTATAGTGATTATCAGAAAGTAATTTTTATTTATGATAGGTTCATACTTTCATGCATTTATTGTCTTTTGTTTTTGGTAGAGGAATCTTGTTATTTAAACATATTTAGAAAACGGTAGGTAAATAACTGTTACATTATATTCTAACTATGCCTTTCTTTCTATTTAAAAATATATGTTTTTATCTAGGGTTTGGATGATGAGAGAATGAAGTTAGCTGCTATTGACATCTTCTCATACATTGTTGAGTTTAGTCCGTCCATGGTTCGAGAATTCATTCTTCATGAAAGCATAAGTGTAGATGATGTAAGTAAAAATGATTTGATTTTTTAATGTTCTAAATATACTAATTTTTCTTAAAATAAAAGTAGAATATTCAAGTTTGAACTAGAACTATATAGTCTATGGAAACAAAAATATTGTTAACTGATTTGCAGAATAGATAATTAATTATAAAATAAAATAACTGATTTTACCTTTTCTTGCTCGAATCTCTATACTAAGCTAAACTCTTAATATTCTTTATATGTTTGCTGACTTTGTTAAAATAACACATTGATTCTATAATATATATATGCTATTCTACAAGAACTCATTTTTTTTAATAGGAGGATCTTTTGATAAACCTAGTCATAGAGCAGATGATTAATGACACAGATCCAGGTAGGCATCTTAATTAATGGTGTAATTAATTAAATGGGTAACATTTTTTGTTAAAATTTAAAAAAAATTTTGCTATCACTTGCGTATAAGGATCTTAATTTATGTCTTCGCTTTATATTTCAAGCAGCATTTTAAAAAAATGCTCTCAAAAAGTGGCTTTAAAATTCTGTAGTTACAAAATTGAATATCAGCACCATAACACAAAGATTTTAATGACATTCAATGAACCTTTTTAAAAAGAAAAAAAGGTACCTTTTAGACTATATATATATTTTTTTGAAAATATTTTATATTTTCTCAATTTTTTCCTCATGTTTGTACGCATGTTTTCTATGTTCAGTGACTTTTCCAAAATTTTGTTTTCAGAATTAGGTGGGGCAGTACAGTTGATAGGAATTCTGCGTTTACTTCTTGATCCAGAAAATATGCTTGCTACTGCAAGTGTGAGTATCTATCCTATATTGTGATTCTTCGCTTAAAACTGTTTGCTATGACTTTTTTTATTTTTAATAAAATAAGCATATTTATCAAAATTTGCATTTTGTCCTACAGAAAACTGAAAAGTCAGAGTTCCTTAGCTTTTTCTACAAACACAGCATGCATGTATTAACAGCCCCCCTATTTGCCAACACTGCCGATAATAAACCTAGCCGAGGTGAGTTTAGTTTTCCGATGTACTGATAATGTTTTTCAATCTCACCTATGATTATTAATTTAATTTATTTTCTGAGCACAATAGAAATTATCAACCATATGATTAGCTATTCCAATGTTAGTTATTTCTTTGGTTAAAAGGGTTTATTTTAGATGTACATCACATGAGATCATTTTAATATGAAGTACACAATTATTACTAAAATAAATTTTGGTGAATTAACCTGTAAATGAATACATTAATAGTTAATAAATTACTTTGGTTCCAGATGACTACCAAAGTGCTCAACTTTTGGGTCTAATTTTGGAGCTACTGACTTTCTGCGTCGAGCATCATACATACCACATAAAAAACTACATCATCACTAAAGATGTGTTGCGGCGAGTTCTTGTCTTGCTGAAGTCTCGACATGCTTTCCTAGTTCTTTGTGAGTAGTACCTATTTCTTTTATCTCTTCAACGGCTCTTCTATGGGTGAATTTGTTGAGGTCAGTGAATCGAATGTGAGGAAAATCCTCGCTGATACCCCAAGAAAGTCATGTTTGCTTGACCCTCATTCCAGCAGGGCTCTTGTATGAATGTCTGGATGAAATAGTCCCCATCATCACTTATATCATAAATCAGTCCTTAGCTACTGGTATTGGTCCATCATCTTTTAAAGAGTCGATCGTCACTCCACTATTAAAGAAATCAAATCTTGACCCAAATGTGATGGAAAATTATCGCCCCATCTCAAATCTACCATTTATTTCTAAAATCTTAGAAAAAGTCGTTCTCTGCCAACTCCTGGATCACCTCACTCAGTTTGACTTGTTTGAACCATTCCAGTCAGCATACAGGGCGCATCACTCTACTGAGACAGCCCTATTGCGCGTCGTAAACGACCTTCTGTCGTCTTGTGATGAGGGCCAGGTATCGATTATGTCTTTACTCGATTTATCGGCAGCTTTCGATACGCTCGACCACGGCATACTGCTCCAGCGTCTGCAACAAACGTTCGGTCTCACTGATACCGTCCTGTGTTGGTTCCGATCGTATCTGACTAATCGGGTGCTGTCAGTTATTTCAAACGGCTTGACTTCGAAGAAATCTAATATCAAATTCGGAGTACCCCAGGGCTCGGTCCTAGGCCCGGTGCTTTTCACGATGTACATTCAGCCCCTGGGTGCAGAGATCAGGCAGTTTGACATGTTGCATCACATGTTCGCGGACGATACACAACTTCATCAATCTGTGATCCCTTCTCAGTTCCCTCAGCTGCTCAGTATGACACAGAAGACAAAGGAGTCGGTTAAGCACTGGATGACCATAAACAAGCTCAAATTGAATGATGATAGGACTGAGCTGCTCCCCATCGCGACCGCTCAGAAGCAAAAATCTGCAAATAACACGACATCCATTACTCTCTCAGGTGTGCGTATTGAGTTCGCTCAAACAGTGCGGTACCTGGGTGTCTACCTAGATAGAAGACTAACTTTTAAAAGTCATATTAACATGCTATGCAAGGCGAATTTTCTGGAGCTGCGCAGGATTAGTCACATCAGGCCCTTCCTAACAATTGATGCAACAAAGAGGCTGATGTCTGCATTTGTGCTATCACGCATGGACTATTGCAATGCTCTCATGGTGGGTCTTCCAGCTACGCTCCTGGATAAAATTCAAATAGCACAGAATAATGCGGCTCGCATTGATCTCCGCAAACGCAAGTTCGACCATGCAAAAACACTTCTGAGAGAGTTGCACTGGTTGCCGGTGCGTGCTCGGATAGAGTACAAAATCGCAACTTTGTGCTACCGCTGCTTACATGACCTGGCGCCGTCCTATCTCAAAGAGCTGCTGACGCCTTATGTACCCACTAGAGAGCTCCGCTCATCCGATAGTGGCAAACTCTCGACACCACGTGTTTGCCTTGAGACTTACGGAAAGCGCACTTTCGCATTTGCTGGTCCAACAA